GCTCGAAAATAGCAAAAACAACTTCATACCATAAATATAAACTATAGAAAACTATTTCGAATAATAAAGTTACGATCTTTGCAAAGAAATAAAAAGTTAACTCAAAACGTTAGTCCAGGCCCGCATCTTGAAACCCGACCAAAGTTATAAAATATGATCACCCATTCGATAACGAGTTCAACCATACAAGAATTACTCCAATCCGACCTCAGATCGCCTTTCAAAACCTCCAAAATTTAGTCTAGGAAGTTTTCACAATTTTCCCCCAAATTTCCAACTCAAATCACTACTTAGATGATGAAAATAATAATAGATTCATGAAATATAGTCCAATCTGGGTTAGAATCATTTACCCCAATGATTTCCTTGAAAAACTCTCGATCGCCACACGCCGAGCTCTCTAGGTCCAAAATATGAAAAATGAGATGAAACCCTCATTTTGAAACTTTAAATTCTGCCCAGGTGTTCTTCTTCGCGATCGCGAAGCACAATTTCACAGGCTGCCAAAATTACTCTCCGCAAATGCGAAACTTCACACGCGAACACGACACACAACTCCACAAGCTACGCGATCGCGAAGAACAAAATGCGTGGACCTCCAGCCTCTTCCTTCCTTCTTCGCGGACACGACCAATGACACGTGTTCGCGGTTCACTGCCTCTCCAAACAGCTTTTCATGATCGGGTAACCCATCTCGCGATCGCATAGAATAACTTTCACCAATCGCCATATAGCTTTTCATGATCGCAAACCTCCACTCACGATCACGTACAAGGAAACCAGCAACAGAAAATTCAGCAATCTTCAAAGTTCCGAAATGCGTCGAGCATGACTCGAATTACATCCGAGGCCCGCGGGACCTCAAACAAATATACCAACAAGTCCTAAAATATCATACTAACATGCTCGAAGCGTCGAATTACATCAAACAACAATAGAACCATGAATCGCGCATCAATTCAAGCCTAATGAACTTATAAACTTCTGAATTTCAAAACTAATGCCGATTTATACCAAAACAACTCCGGTTGACTACAAATTATGCACAGAAGTCATAAATAACATGACGAACCTATTCCAACTTCCAAAATTGAAAACCGACCCCGATATCAATAAAGTCAACTCCCAGCCAAACTTTCCAACCTTCCAAACCTTCAACTTTTTAACTTTTGCCAAGTCACGCCGAAAGGACATACGGGCCTTCAAATCAATATCTGAACACGCTCCTAAGTCTAAAATTATCATACGGAGCTATTGGAACCGTCAAAACTTCATTCTAGAGTCGTCTATATAAAAGTTAAATTTCGGTCAACTCTTTCAACTAAAAGCTCCGACTTAGGGATTATATGTTCCATTTCACTCCGAAACTCACCCGAAACCAAAATCAAACACGTCCGACAAGTCACGTAACTATAAGACAATATAGAGGAGGCAATAATAGGAGATCGGGACTAAAATACTCAAAATGACCGGCCGGATCGTTACATGTACACGCTTACTTGACTCCAAATTATAATCAAGTTAAAGATTTGATCTCGACTCAAATTCCCACTAAGATCGTGATAGCAGCAAACCCCAAACTGCTAAGCGAACTAACTAGTACAACCAACAAATTCGGATACCATAGAGAGAGAGAGAAACAAGCTTAATCATGGATAATATTATAGCATAAGCCAAAATTTGATACATAACTATGGATTACAATAAATAATCATGAAACTAGTAATACAACGTCATGAGCATCTATAACATAATAACAAAACAAATATAATATGAATACTGTTTGAAAAAAGATAATAATAATAATAATAATAACTAGATAAAATGAAACAAGCGACGAATAAGAATTACTTGATGAAAATGAAACAAGCATGAGGAAGAATTAAATGATGAATATCAATCAAGCGAAGAGGATTGGCATGTTTGTTTTTTTTAAGTGTTTTCATTATTCATTTTATACATTTTTTTGTCTTAAAATATTTTATATTTTTTTTGGTCTTAAAATATTTCATTGTTTTTAATATGCTTATATTACACATATGGCACGTGGTAAGAAAAGAAGACAAGACATGCTTCCCAGCCTCCTCAGTATACTTCAGGTCCTACTATCTCATCTGTGTCATTTATGAGTCCTCCTCATCCTCATCATACTTCAGGTCCCACTACCTTGTCTGTGTCATTTATGAGTCCTACTCCTCCTCCTTCTCAGCAGACTTCATTGCCACCTGGCTTTTTCACTTTGCCCCCTTGTGATCTAATTCAATATAAGCCTATCTTTAACTCCCATAGCATGAATACTATACAATCTTCTTCCCCAGCTTATCGTACTAATCAGCATTATGGCTCCTTATCTATGCCTTTGTCATCACCGACTCCATCCCCAAGCTATCATGTTAGTCAGAATGGTGGTCTCTTATCTATGGCTCCATGTTCATCTCCATCATCATCCACTCCTAGCGTTTCTATGCCGCATGTTGGAGGCTCTACCGTACTGTCATCCCATCCATTGATACATCTATACCTGCTCCTGATGGTAAATAGACTCAAACTTTTGAAGAGGTTGTAACATACGATGCTCTTCACAGACTGATTATCATTCCTGATGGCACTACATGGTAAGTAATTACTTTATATTTGTTTGAATGTTTAATATATTTTTAACATGTGTTCATTTTAATGCAGGTTTGTTCCTTCCAATGAATCTACGAAGGTGGTTGTGGACTGTGTTAAAGTGTTTTACCGAGATGCTTGGAGTAAATGGTTAGATATACCGTACATTTACAGAGACCAGATGTGAAATCAATTTAGGGCACGAAACCAATAAATTTTATACTCCCTCCGTTTCAATTTATGTGAACCCATTTGACTGGGCACAGAGTTTAAGAAAAGAGAGAAGACTTTTGAACTTGTGGTGTAAAATGAGACACATATATTTTGTGTGGTTATAAATCATTGCATAAAAGTAAATTATTTCCAAATAGGAAAATAGGTCATTCTTTTTTGCACGGACTAAAAATAAAATAGGTTCACATAAATTGAAACGGAGGGAGTATTATTTATCAAATTACTCTTATTTTATCTAATGTTTTAAATTATTTACAGACAAGGTGTGTATGACTTCCCAAATATCATCAGCAAATAAGTCATAATTTCGAGAAAAAAGTGCTGATAGGCTTAAAAATCTCTTGTATATTGCTCGGCGCGATGGCAAGATGCTCGGTTGGATACTAAAAGATATATGGGATAGATTTAATGTGATATGGGCCTCTGAAGAATTTAAGAAGTGGAGCAACGCTGCAAAGGCTGCCCGAGCCTCCAATACGGGTGGCTCATTGCACACTCGAGGTTCAGTTAGTATTCGAAGGAGAATGGTAACTTTCTTACTATATTTACTTTGATTTTAACTAAATACAATTAAACTTTATCTAACTTAATTTTTTTTGCAGCAAAAGGAAAAAGGGAGACTTGTGGCTTATGCTGAGGTTTTTGAGGACAAACATATGAAAATGAAAAAGGATGGTACAAAAGAATGGGTCGAGCCGCGTGCCGCAAGGACATATGTAAGATATTCTCTAGTTTCTTCTTTTGGTTTTGCATTGGGACAACACTTAGTTTTTAATGTATTGATAGATTCCTTAACTTTTTGCTCTTCTCATTCCTAGATCTGAAATCACAATAGAAACACATTTCACTCTGTTAAAAAGGCTCCTTAGGTTTCTGTTTAGGGACTAAATAAGAAAATAGGAAGATCTTTATGTCAAATAAAGTTCACAGGGTACTGTTACAAAACATTAACACAATTGAGTTATCAAGTTCTTGTTGTAGATAAATATTAGACTCGAACTTCATTAATGCCTCTATTTTCCCCTTTAGAACAGAAAATAGGAACTAGGAAGATTACAGTTTTAACAATCAGTCTCCTCATTTTCTTCAAAGTTAACTCCAACATACTTGACATGTCTTCCTCAAACTATAGTCCACGAATACGTAACTTCGTTTATTTCAATAGCATTTGTTTGAAATACATGTCTTCCTCAAAAGCTTGCCATGCTTCAGAAAGATAAGGCCCGACTCTTGACTCAGATTTCTCAAAATAATTCACTTTCCTTCTGTCTTCTGTAATGTTATCTATTTCAGTCCCTTCTCCTAAAACATTTCATTTCTGTAGATAAAGAATATTAGGTAATGATCAATCACTGAACGAACACAAGTAACAATGAAATCTTGTGAAGAAGACTTTGGCTGGCTTTTGTGCTAAAGTCTCGTGAAAATTTAACATAATTTATTTATTGGTGCTTCACACGGTTAGTATAACATAATTTAATGCGAAATATTTTAATTTCAGGAAGCCAATCAAAAATGTTTGGAAGGATGGCATCAAAGTCAACCAGATTCCAAGGATGGTAGCTCAACCCAAGTATCATTACATGATGTAGCTTCAATATGGACGCAGATGGTTGGTGGCGCAAAGAAAGGTAAAACCCACGGTCTTGGATCACAACATTCCCTAGGTCGTCCTACGACATTGTTGTCCGGTAATACAAGTTATTCGCAGAATCATGGAGAGGAGAAAGCATTACGAAAATAAGTTGAAGAATTAAAGGAGGAACAGAAAGAAGATCGTGCAAATTTTAACAAATCGCAGAGTCTAGTAGAGAAACTTATGAGCAGACGTCAATTTGGTCCTCAGAATGTCAGAGGATGACGGGGATGATGAGTTTTAGTTTGTTGTGATGTTTGAGAAATTATTGTTTATTATGATTGGATGTTTGGACTTGGTCATGTTTAGACTTGACTATGATTGTAATGTTTAGACTTGATTGAATGGTGCTTGAATCACTACAAAAAGGGCCTAATTGCGGCGGTTTAATAGCGGGGGTCAGCTCCAACCCCCACAAATTTCATTAAATAACAGGGGTTTACCTAACTGACACAATATAAGAAAATAGCGGCGGCTGAAAACATACGCTATCTGCAAAAAACAGCGTGCTAATATTTCCCCACGCTATTTTTTGCTTCGTTCATTTTTTTCTCAAAAGCTCAAAACCTCCGCCCACTTCTCAAAAGCTCAAAACCTCCATCACGCTCAAAACCTCTGCCGCGCTAAAAAACTCAAGGTAAAGATCTCAATTTTGAGAGATTAACTCAAATTTCATGATTCTTTCTACTTTATTTTTCTTAGAATTGGAAGTTTTGTGTAAATTTCTCATTCCATTTGTAAGATTTGAACTCAAATCCTCATTTTCCCATCTCTTTTCTTTGATTTTCCTCATGTTTTCCCCCTATAGTAATGGCAAAGGCATCTCAATCACTCACTCTCGCATAGTAATCGACAAGTATCTTCAATTAAAGTAAGTTCGTCTACCCTATTTTTGGTTTAGTGCAATGTTATTTCTACAAATGGGTCTTTCATCTTCCCCATTGGGTTTGTATAATCTGTAACTTTTGTATGTTTTCTATTGCATGTGGCTTTAATTTTATTTTTGTTATTTTTTTGGATACTTTATGTTAGATTTTGATTTTCTCTGTTTATTTGAGATTTTTTTGTTGAACTAGCAGAAAATATAAATTTTTTACGCCATGTTGTATGAGGATTTATATGGGTGTATTGTGATTCTAAGGTTTGGTGTTTGAGCAAAAATTTGGTAAATTTTCTTAATAAACTGTTTTACTGTTTATATGGGTGTACTGTTTTACTCAAGTAAAATAGTTTATTACAGAACTAGACCTATCTAATCAAATTCTAGTTTACAGATGGATACAATTAAATTCCAACACATGGATAAGCATGAAATAGTTTAAATTAAACTACACATTCTAGTTTATAGAACTACACATTCTAGTTTATAGAACTACACATTCCAGTTTCATGATACAATTAAACCTCCATCATATAAGTAGATGGTTGGTAGTATGAAACAGTTTAAATTTTCTTTAAAGCCATGTTATAAAGTAGTGCATATAGAACCAAGAGAAAACAAAACCTTTTAGAATCAAAGTTCATCCTATAACTTTCAACTTTTTTAAGTTATAAAGGAGTGCATACAAAACCAAGAGAAAAGAAAACCTTTAGAATCAAAGTTCATCCTATGAATTTTAATTTTTTTAAACTTTTCCTTCTAAAGTAAGCCTCCCTTATTTTGACAATCTATCTCAAATCTACCGGTACTTCATGAAAATCACAATAATCTTTTCTTAAGATATTTGGTTATGTATGTTCTCTGTTAGAATTAATTAGTTTTTTCATTTTCTGTTCTATTAACTTATACTAATAGACTACTCATTTTCTTCCTCATGAAATCTTATAGGTGATATTATTGCACAATAATCTAATTTTCAATGGATAAATCTTGGATTGAAATGCCAAGGAACACACTAGAGTATTTTCTTGGTTTGAACCAATTTCTAGATTTTGCATTTAACAATGGAGCTATCGGAAATAAAATAAAATGTCCATGTCCTAAATATGGTTCTAGGAAGTGGCAAACTAGAAATATAGTATTTTATCATTTGATCGATAAGACGTTCCCTCAAAACTATGTCACTTGGGTTATGCATGGGGAAATGAATATATTGCATAATTCTGGAAACATAGAGGTTACTCAAGATGCACCACCCATTGAAAATCTTGTAGAATTGTTGATTAATGAAGCATTCGGGGGCTTAAGGCATGAGGGTGTTGATGTAGGTCCGTCACAAGTAGTCGGAGAACAAGAAATGATACATGATATGCCCACTTCAAATAACAAAGATTTTTTTGAGTTGCTTAGAGATGGACGTCAAGAATTATATGAAGGGTCTAAGTATTCAAAGTTGAAATTTTTGTTAAAGCTTTATCACATAAAGTGTTTGTCTGGGTTGGGTGACAAGGGAATGACTATGATACTAGATCTACTCAGAGATGCATTTAAATTTTCAAAGACTCCTCATTCTTTTTATGAAGCCAAGAAGACCATCAGTAAGTTGTGTCTTGATTATATCAAGATAGATGCTTGTCCAAATGATTGCATGTTATACTGGGAGGATGATGTTAATGCAGAAGCATGCAAGTATTGTCACACTTCTAGATGGAAGCCCGGGAAGGAGAGCAGTAAAGACCATGAACCAACTACAAGTAAGAAACAAAAGAAGAAGAAAAATAAGAAGTCTGCAAAAATTTTGCTCTACTTTTCATTAAAACCAATATTACAAAGACTGTTCATGTGCTCTAAGATTGCAGATCATATGAGATGGCATGCAGAGGATAGTAACAAAGATGGAACCATAAGTCACCCTAGATATGGTGAGTCATGGAAGAGGTTTAATACAATGTTTTCTATATTTTCTTCCGATCCTCGAAATATTCGATTAGGCCTGGCTAGTGATGGGTTCAATCCTTTTGGGACAATGAATACTAATTATAGCATTTGGCCTGTAGTTTTGGTTCCATATAACCTTCCTCCTTGGTTGTGTATGAAGCAACAAAATTTTATCCTCTCAATGATCATTCCAGGTCCACGTACGATGGGGAATAATATAGATGTATACCTACACCCCCTTATTAAGGAGTTGAATGAGTTGTGGAGTAAAGGTGTGGACACTTTTGATTCATCAAAAGATGAAATGTTTAGAATGCGAGCAGCTCTTATGTGGACAGTTAGCGACTTTCCTGGACTTGATATCTTATCTGATTGGAATACACATACTGGTCTTGCATGCCCCTCTTATAATTTTGACGCAGAACCTTGTCGACTTCGTCATAGTAGAAAGTGGTATTTTATTGGCCATCATCGGTTTTTGGGAAGAAATCACAAATTTAGAATGATGAGACATCGTTTTGATGGAAATGTTGAAGAGAGGACCCCTCCAAAGAAGTTATCAGGATCAGATATTTTGCAACAAGTGAAAGATATCAATGTCATATTTAGAAGACAAGCAGAATTGAATGATACAAGGAAAAGAAATAGGAAAAAGAGTATTGGAGAAGGTGTAACTCAACAATGGAGAAAAAAAAGCATATTCTTTGATCTTCCATATTGGAAGTCTAACTCATTGCGCCATAATTTAGATGTTATGCATATTGAAAAAAATGTGTTTGATAATATTATATACTCTTTGCTAAATGATAAAGAAAAATCAAAGGATCATGTTAAGGCTCGAAGAGATCTACAAGATATGGGTATGGCCGGATGAGAATGATGAATGACGGCTTGGTGCATTTACAATTCCAAAGGAGAAGAAACTGGCCTTTCTAAAGACTTTAAAGAATATCTCAGTGCCAGATGATTATTCAAGTAATATATCTCGTTGTATTTATTTGGATCAAAAAAGTATCTTTGGATTAAAAAGTCATGATTGTCACATCCTTATGGAACAATAGTTACCAATAGCAATCTGCAATGTGCTTCCAAACCAGGTTGTTGCAACGTTGGTAGAGCTTTCCTCCTTTTTTAGGCATCTTTGTCTAAAAAGCTTAAGCCTCTCAGACCTAGAAAAGCTACAAAATCGGATTGTGGAAACTCTTTATCATCTAGAGATGTTATTTCCTCCATCATTTTTTACTGTAATTGTTCCTCTAACTGTTCATCTAGTGGATGAAGTAATACAAGGTGGCCCGGTACATTGTCGATGGATGTATTTTGTTGAAAGGTAAAATATTTCTTATTCAAAATTATTTTAATAGATCTTGTAATAGTATTTCAATGTAAATGTTTCTTCTAACACTTTATTATTTTGGTTATAGATTATTAGGTCATTTTAAGTCCCTTGTAGGAAATAAATCACAACTAGAAGGTTCTATAGCTGAAGGTTACATAGTTGAAGAAGCTCTAACTCTTTATTCTCGTTATTTTGAGAGAATTGATTCAAGGTTAAATTGACCTAAACGTGTAAACGATGAACCAAATCATAATGAGACTTCCAAAGTGTCATCTATGTTCCCTCAACAAGGTAAACCCGTCGGAGGCTCCACAACAGAACCATGGACTCTTTTGGAGAAAACTCAAGCTCATCGATATGTGTTGCTTAATTGCGCAGCAGTAAAGCCATTTATTGATAAGAAATTTGATTTGATTTGATTTATAAGAAACATTTAGAGCAATTGAATTCAAATTGATGCATATAACACCTTTGTAGTGAATTTAGACATCACATCAGAAGAAGTAGAGGCCGAAGACTTTCACCAACAGAGGTAGAGAGTCGAGTTAGTAAAGAGTTCCCCGATTGGTTTCCTAAGCGAGTGAGCGAATGATATTTAAAATGTTTCCTAATTGATTTCCTAAGCTTTCTTGTATCAATTTGTAATTTCTAACAGAAATATGTTGTTTATTTAGATTATGAATCTAGATATAGCAGACACTATCTCTGACGATATCAAGTTCTTAGCACAAGGTCCAGCAGAAGTTGCAAGAAGATTCAGTGCTTATAACATTAATGGACTCAAATTTCGGACTTTGTCTAGAGAACAAGGATTAAAAACTCAAAATAGTGGAGTTTTTCTTGTNCACAAGATGCAAGAAGATTCAGTGCTTATAACATTAATGGACTCAAATTTCGGACTTTGTCTAGAGAACAAGGATTAAAAACTCAAAATAGTGGAGTTTTTCTTGTCTCTGACACTTCGTGTATTATATCTAGTACAGATAGATATGCAAGACAAGCAGACCTGCCATATTATGGGAAGTTGGAAGATATTATTGAGCTTAATTATTATGGTCGGTTCAAGGTTGTTCTCTTTAAATGCCAGTGGGCTGACACTACTCGAAATAGAGGGTTCAAAATAGATGTTTGGAAGTTTAATTGTGTCAACTTCTCTAAATTGATTCACCCTGGTGATCGTGAGGATGATGATCCATATATTGAAGCATCTCAAGCAAATATGGTCTACTATGTTGATGATAAAACTGATAAAGGATGGAGTGTCGCTGTATATCTAAAGCCAAGAGATTTGTTTGATATGGGAGAGGTTGATGAAGAAGAAATATACGAGAATGACCCATACCGATAACAAGAATTTGGACATTTTTTTATGTTAATTATGAGAATATCCAAATTGCAATAGAGGAGCATATGACTGAATAGATATAATAAAATATCCAAATTGCAATAGAGGAGCATATGNGACTGAATAGATATAATAAAATATCCAAATTGCAATTGCAATAAGAATTTGGACAATCTTTTTTTGCTTGATTAGGATATTTTAATTAGTGTTTTTTTCTTCAAAACTTACTATCTTTGTGCTAAGAAAGTGATATTTATTCTTTATGAAAATTTTGTGATTGTTTGTTGCTCGGGTTTTGCGTAGAATTCAGTAAGTGTTTGATAATCTATTATAATATGGATCTAACATGTTCAAATATTTCTTTGAATGTTTACTTTTAAACCATAATGGATTCTTATTTTTTATATTTCTCAGTTACTACTATTTTCATGAGCTATATTTTGTTAACTTGGTATTGTATGAGAAAGAGGTAAGGTAGAAGCATTGCTGATGAAAATTTAGAAGCCATTTTCTGAACTGAAATATTGTTCAAGAGAAAAGGGAAGAGTGTGAGATGATGATGTTGTGATTTGTAAAGAAGGGCTTTTTATAGGATGAAAATAAGATCTAATTTTCATTTACACATCCGAACATGACTGTTCTGAAATTGCCATTAGGATACAACTATTGTGAAATATAGAAGGGCATGTGAGTATGTGACTATGTAAATTCCTTGGTTTTCAGAGTACTACTTCTAGGACTTTTTTTTTTACTTCTTAGATCTGATGGTTATCAAGGTTATGAGCATGCTATAATACTAGCTATGAGAAAGAGAACTTTAGTAAATTTATGTGTATATCTTAAATTAGATTCCGACTTGCACACCATTCTTTTATCTTGAAGTTTGTGGATTTTCTTTGCATTGCTTATTAAATTTATTCATTATTGAATTGCAGATATGCCAAGGTTCAAGCGTTTGCTGAAAAAGCAAAATTCAGATCAGTCACAAGGTAATGAATCAACACCTTCTTTTCTTCAATCAACGCCATGCATGCCAATACATTCGACCACGTCAATTTTGGCCACAACACATCTGACCCCATTATTTCAGCCGGCATTACAACCGTCTAAATCAGTTCACTCAACATCCCATCCATCTCCAATGGATCAGGCTGCATCACAGCCGACACCGGCAGTTTACCCTGCATCACAACCATCTCGGTCAGTTCACTCGACTCCAACAGATCAGGACTCATCACAGCCAAATCCATCAGTTCAGACCTTATTAGAAAGCGTTCAGGGAGCCATTGGACTGTAGAAGCAATAGATAAATACTTTTGACTAGTAGTACATATTCAGCAGTCCCTTCTAAGTCCCTTCAAGTCGAGGCAACAGTCATTGAACAAAATTAATGTAGTGTAGCCAAAAGTCTTTATTTTTGGATTCAACTGATCTCTTTTGTTATACAGATTCAGAACAAAATATCAAGAAACTCAAAGTGAAAGTTAACGAAGTGCTAAATTTAACGTGTGAAGAACGTATTGTGGTTGATTTTGATTACCTGGATGAACCATTTGGAGATGCACGCGGCCTTCTTTCAGGTTTTTGTGGAATTTTAGCATGTGACTGCGCTTTATTTCCTATCCACTGTGAGAAATGGTTGAGTTTACCTATCTCATACTTCAATCGCGTCTTCGATCAAATTATAAAGGTATAAGCTCTACATTCTTAGAACTATATCACTGTTTTGTTTTTTTGGAGAAAGACAACTATATCTCTATTTTGTCTTTAAACTATAGCTTTACATTCTTAGAACTAATAGGATCAGGAGCATTCCGTAAATGAACAAAATTATTGTTGCATATAAAAGTGCTATCAACTCCTGGAAAATGGATCAGCAAAGATTTGCTAACATACAAAAAGGTATGAAGTAGAGTTGACAATTCATTGTCAAGGCTTGTTGTTTATATTCTAGACCAAAATATTATATACTCTGCTCTGACATTTCATCAGGCCTACTCAAGACTTTGGCAGAACATAGTAAGCCTTACCAGTTTGCTTAAGAAGCTTATTAATCAATGACTGCTCTGCCATTAGAATCCACAAACCATGATACTTGGTTTAACCTTGGATGCTTCAAGTTCAGTAAAGAGTACACCTTAACACTTTGTTGTAAATAAGAGAATATTACAAGAACAGAGACAAAAAAGCAAATAGACAAGACCTTTTGTTGTACAAAAACCACAAGGACATGCTAACCAATGTTTTATTCTTGAAGCTCAAGTTCTTCTTTAAGATAGAGTCAGTTGCACGACAATATGTTTATAAATCTATTGGAAAGAAATGGGCTGCAAATAGGCTCAACTTGTGGAGCGCATCTGAAGACCCACTTAAAAGTAGAGCTGACATTATTGATAATGTGCCGGATGGAATTCTGCAGGATCATTGGATTTCTTTTGTTGATTACCAATATAAAGATTCAACAAAGGTACTTATGTAACTTCTTCTACTAGTCTTTATAATTATATTATTGTTTGTTCTTCTAATTGAGTTTCAAGTATATTTTTATAAGGAAATGCATAAAAAAAATGTTGAAAATAGAAAAAACAGACAATTCCACACACAGGTGGTTCCAAAGCCAACGCTACAAGAAGGGCTGAAATGGTGAGTAAATTAACTTACTATGTAATTATTTCTAAGTAGTAGCTAATTCTGATTTGATTTTTTATTTATAGATGGCTCAGACTGGACAAATGCCTGGACGAGCACAAATATACATTGCTACTCATAAGAATGAAGATGGAGTATATGTTAATGAAGAAGCAAAAGAAATATGCGTAAGTTTGTGTGAATTCTTAGCTTATCTTAAACGTGATTGCTAATGCTATTTTCATTTAGTTGTTTCATTTTGAAAATTTTAGAAAACTTGTGATATGAAGTTTGAACAGCGGCAATTACGGATATGAAATTTAGTTGTAGCAGTTTAAATGTTTGAAATTTAATTCTGGCAGTTCAAACTTCTTATCACTAATATGTGCAAACGGCATATTTTGATGAATAATGCTTGTAGAACGATTCCAAGTTAGCTTGAGCAATAAATTGATTAGTCGTTCATCTTATTCAGCAACCACTAGCTTTTGTGATTAGGCATTTATTTCTCACGAACATATTGAGTTCAAGTCAAGTTAAATATTACCATTGTGTCTTTTTTATTTGTTGGTCCTTCCAGATCCAGATCAAAATCGAATTTTGACACTAGACAAATGCATCCCTGTTGGCTTAGTTGTGACAAAGAGTTTTATTTGTGTAGGAAAAAATTGAGTTAGCTTTGAGCCAAAGCAACATAGACGAGTCTCAAATTTTGCCAAATGATGCCATTGGTAAGGTGCTAGGAAAAGAGCACTCTGGAAGGGTGAGGTGTTTGGGATTAGGCCTTGTCCCTAGTAGAATTTTTAAACAAGTTAGACCTCGTTTTGGTGGTATAAGTTCTTCAAGTACTAAAGGTTCATGTTCGTCCCAATGTCAACATAACCATAATCAAATGATGAATGCTCACAATCAAATGATGAACGCTTTCAAGGCATATATGATAATGAAAGAAGGGACTATACCAGAACAGTTTGTGGGGTTCTTTGTTTCTCCTTCGACAGTTTCTCCTACAACGGTAAGTAAAGTTCTTCAATATTTTTTTCTAGTCCTACAATGTGTGCACAAGTCTAATATCAGTTTCTTGTGAATCAATAAGTAAAATTGGCCTTGTTGTTGCATCCGTTGTAGTTACACTTATTTACTTATAGTATTTAGTAGAACCTAGAGTTACTCCAATTTCTAATTCTGGCATGATTTTTATACTTTATTTTTTTTATGGCAGTCAAGTGATGTGGACAGTGGACCCCTTTCGCCAATGGACGCAAGAAGATCATGCGGTGATAGTAATTCTAGTGGCAACCGTTAATTTCATTGTAATGGTGTTAGATAATTAATTGTGGCGATATAATTGTATGGTTGAAGCGGATGTTAGAATGTTGGAGTGAATATTTTGTGTTTAAAATAGTTTTTGAGTGATGCTACTTAATGTTGACAATTTAGTTTTAAAGACTAATGATATTTTATGATAACGTTTTGTGATTTTATGACATGTTATCGATTTCTTTTAACTTTAAACTATATATTTTTGCTTTGATTATGATTTACAGCTTAATTAGTGATTTTGTCAATAATATATGAATTAAAAAATTCAATAAATTCTTGAGGTTATGACTGACATGAGCTTTAAATATAAGCTAATAAAAAAGAATAAAAATTATATTGCGGAGGTTTAAAACTGCCGCAATTCGTAACTGAAAATTATTTTAAATAGATTTAAATTTTAGATCTGCGGGGGTCAACCGCCGCGAAGTAACCTCCGCTACTTAGTTCTGGCGGTCAGCAAAAAACTGCCGCAAATCGATTGTGATGACTCTTATTGTGGGGATTTTAACAACTGCCGCAACAACATATTGCGGGGGTTTTAAACCGCCGCAAACCTTAGAAATAACCCCCGCAATTAGGCCTTTTTTTTTGTAGTGAATGTTTAACTTGTGTTTAGTTACAAATGTTTATATCTTCTTTAATTGTTTGTGTTTTATGGGTTGGATTAATTGAAATGGTGAATTGATTGGTTGGAATGGTGGATTGATTGTTTAGTTGCTGTATTTTTGAATTGGCAGGTGGTGTGGCTTTAAAACAGCTAAAATCTATCAAAAATTTTCTAGTTTTCCAACCATAGTAGTCGCAAATTGCTTCAAAGTTTTCCAGATTCAGGAACATTTGTGATCGCTGTAGTGGGAAAAGTAAATAAACACAGTAATATTTAATTAGATTTGCGACCGCAGTAGTGAAAAATATAAATAAATAATATTAAATTAAATTTGTGACGACAGTAGTGAGAAAACTTAAATAAAATAAAAATACTTTGTAATATTTGCGACCACTTTGGTGATAAAGTTTAAATAAAATTATAATTATCTATAACATTTGCGACCGAAGTAGTGGGAAGGTTTATGTAAATTTAAAATTTTAATTTATATTGTTTGTGACTGCATTAGTCGGACAATTGACAACATTAATTAGTCGTTTTTATATTTTGACTTTTCGATTGTCGTAATCACAAATTACAAACGGAGTCGGTCGTCAACTATTTCAGAACAAGCTATTTTGCGACCACATTATTTCTGTCTGAATGTAGTCGGAAATCAGTATTTTCTGACCGTATTTCGACCATTTTGGCAGTCGAAAAATAGACATTTTTTAGTAGTGTATTCTTTCCGCTGCCTGTATCTTCTTCTTCATTATCTTTCTCCTATTAGCTGCAGGACAAGTGCTTATAGGATAAATGAAGTTCATATATTTTCTTAATTAACCCTATTATAAGCCTCTTTCTTTCATCTTAACTGAAGTGGACACTGCTTAAATATCTAAACGCTTCAAGTCCATATATCTGGGTGAATGATATATAAACTGTAAAGGGGGTCTTACTGAGTAATCTTTGAATAGAGAGGAACGATAAGATCTCAGTTATTCAATATTAATTTTGTTTTAAAAAATTTACTCTCCCATTTTGCCATCGTAAATAATTGAAAAAATGGGACTTTAATGGTTTTGAAAGGAGCTACTGAATCAGGAAAGAAATCATTTAAAAGAATGGGATACATTTTACATTACAAAAAGAGTACATACAAGAGTACATTTTACAGAACTCAGAATCCTTTTTTTGGGCGGGGGTGGGTGGGAAGGAGTGCTGGTAGCATGCCGCATATGAACTCTCTAATACAAGCATACTACCGAGTAAAGGGAATGTCCCGGAAGCGTGGGAACTCAACTTGCCTGGAATCATCAAAAATTATACTTGTAAGTTGTATAATTGTCTAGAAGTACCAACACTCTGTCATGTTTTTGTATACAAACCTCAAACATTATATATCTCAGGATAATGACAAGGCAAGAATCAAACACAACAACTAAAAAACTCAACAAAGAATTAAAGTAAATGGCTTGTTCTATAAGCCCATGAAGGAAGGTACGTAATAAAAAAGAATTTAATGACGTCATCCATACTCAGTGTCTTCGACGCGGAGCATAATGATATGCAAAAAATCACAAAAAGATTACAATATATTATAGGCTTGAACCCATAAGTTTAAAAATATAATAGGTTCAATCCGAAAAATCTTAAATGTTGAACCCGTAGAGTTTAAAACTTGGATCTGCGTCTCTTGCGAGCACCTCGACTATTCCAGCGGGCACTTGCTACCTCCCAAGAGTATAGGTACTGAATAACTTTGCCTATCAAGGCTTAAACAGTAATTTTTTGCCAGTTTGAAGCTTAGACCTCGTAGTTCTCCTCCATAACTAGGCCACCCTTAGGTGCCAAAGTACCTAATAATAAATATTTTGCATATCAACCTATGGTTTGTCTACCTATGTCTTCTCTAACTTTTACTTTTTTTCTTACCAAATCTTAATACCCATTCAATAATTTTCTTGCAAACTTATAGTACTTATTTCAATTTGCAAGTATCAAAAGTTTATATTCCAAATTAATTGACCTACGCCCAATTTAGCTTGAAAAACAGTTCAATCAACTTTCGTTTCAAACAAATTGGGGCAGGAGAAGTGATTTTCAGTAGCCTGAATTATGTCTCAGAAATTCATTATCACGAAATAAAAAGGTAAAACTAAACGCCAACTACATTGAGTTTCATCCTACAAACGAAAGTAACAGAGAAAGAGACGTGCCGACCTTTTGGGTAAATGTTTTTCCATTCACATTGGAGAAGAGGATTTCTTGGTGGCGAAGTTAGTGAGAAGAAAAAACAGAAATGGTGCCTAGTGCAGTGAAGTGAGTGTGTTACGACCCAAAATCAATCATCGTGATGGCGCCTATCGTGGAATTAGGCAAGCCAACTACTCAACGAGTTCAACCAAGTAAAAACTTTGAAAATAAAACGGAAGCAGTTAAAATTTAAGAAAAAACATTTAAAAACTGAAATAAAACCACAAACGCAATATAAATCTCTCCCAAAATCGGGGTGTCACCGAGTACATGAGCATTTATACCAGGATACAACCTACTACAATGTCTGAGGAATAAGAACTGAAGTACAAATAAAGATAATGAAGGAGAGTCAAGGCCTGCGACCGCCATGCAGCTACCTCGATAGTCTCTGAGATCTCGACTCCTCACTCAGCAGTCGCTATAACCGGAAGCACCTAGATCTGCACACGAGGTGCAGAGTGTAGCTTGAGTACAACCAACTCAATAAGTAACAAATCCAAACTGTGGACTGAGAGTAGTGACGAACTCAACCGGCACAGTTCAATATAGAAAATAAAGTGCAGAAACGTAGACATGCTTTTCAAGTTCGATAGATATCTCAAAACAGTAAAATGGATCAAATCTGAATGATATGAAGAATATAACTCCTCTACTTCTACTATGTTAATGCGCATGTTGTATGTGACGCACCATGCTGACGTCCACATGTGCTCACGCTCTCAAATGCTCAATCACTCGGTACTGTATATGGCTCATATGGCCCAGGGAAGATCCATCCCGGAATATATACATCACTGACCATCAGTCACCCAGTACCGAGTAGGGCCAATCCAGCCGGTGGAGAAGATCCATCTCCATGTATATAAAACTTCGGACAAGATCCATGTCTAGGGAAGATTCATCCCTCAATAACACCAACCGCGCTCACTGGGGGGTGTGTGCAGACTCCGAAAGGGCTCCTTCAGCCCAAGCGCTATCATAAATCAGTATAACTGATGCGGCATGCAGCCCGATCCCATAAATATCACTCATATTCAGGCCCTCGGCCTCACTCGGTCATCAATCTCTCTAGTCTCTCTCTCACGGGCTTACAATGTCATGATACTAGCCCGAAAATAATGATATGATGTATCAATAAATAATAACAGAGACTGTAATATGATATGAAATGAATGAATATGATTGAGTGCGAAATATCAATGAAATCAGTAAGACAACAGCAAAAAATGACCACTATGGGCCCCAATAGTACCTTCATAAAGCCTAAACATGATATCTAGCATGAGTGACAGCTCAATTACTTTATCACATGATGAAAACACGGATATAAACAAGATAGAACCACTATACAGTGCCATGGAATCGACCAGGTGGTAATTCTCACGGTGCACGCCCGCAGGCCCGTCACTTGGCATGTGTGGCACCTCAATACCAATCACATAACACATATATTCGGGGTTTTGAACCCTCGGAACTAAGTTTAGAAGTGTTACTTACCTCAATCCGAGCAAATCCCTATTTCAATACGCCTTTGCCTCGCAAATCGATCTTCAAATTACCCGAATATAGCCACAACCAGTACAATACAATCAATACGGGCTAAAGGAATCAATTATACAAGAAATTACAAAGTTATAACTCAAAATCCAAAATTGGTTCAAAACAGCCCCTTCCTTCCTTCGCTTCTATGGCCTTCACCCCGCATCTGCGGTCTCGCAGGTGCGGGAAAACCTTCGCACATGCGTCCCTCTGCATGCTCTCCTCCATCTCTACATTTGCAGACCTTCACCCGCACATGCGGGCTCACATCTATGGTTCCCACTCCGCAGGTGCGATTACACCAGCAGCACAGAGACTTCAGCAACTTCTCGAATCAAATTTCACGTCCGTTAACCACCTGAAATCAACTCAAAGCCCACGGGACCTCAACCAAACATACCAACAAGTCTTAAAACATCATACGAACTTAGTCGAATCTTCAAATCACCTCAAACAATATCAAGAACACGAATCGCACCCCAATTTAAGCCTAATGAACTTAGAAATTTCCAAATTCTAACGTCGAAACCTATCAAATCACGTCTGATTGACCTCGAATTTTGCACACAAGTCACAAATAACACCATGAACCTACTTCAACTTCCGAAAATCAAATCTTACCCCAATATCAAAAAGTCCACTCCCGGTCAAACTTTCCAAAATTACAACTTTTGCCA